CTTTCCTATATATCGTTGACTTCGCCACCTTAACATACGCCGAATACTAGTATTTGCTCCAAGGACCATCGAGCTTATATTTGTTCAACGATGGACATCCGAAGACTAGCCAGTAGCCTGTATCAGGGGTAGCCTGCTATTTGCATTAGGGGTAGCCCGGTGTTTGTATTAGGGGGGTAGCCCGGTGTTTGTATTAGGAGGGTAGCCCTGTGTTGGTCCGACGTTGACTCGTACGGTCGAGATGTGGCTATCGTTCAATCCGTTGAGCCAACACACCGACGGGAGCCGGCGCTGATGAGCCGTACCTGGGCCGGACAGCCGGCCGTTGTGAGATAACGAGGCGCGGAATGTGAGATATCTCTATTATCTCACCTAGGCGATGACAGACCCGGAGTTGGGGGGGGGGGGGGGGGGAGATCATTGATATTTGGTAAGGCGGAGATCGAGAAAAAAAGACACCCAATGCTTTTGATTATGGCAAAAAAAAACAAAAAAAAACGACCATGTTACAAAATGAACCACTTTTTTAAAAAATAAATCCACCAATCTCTTAATATTTAAAGGGCATTTTTGGAATGGTATGTTTAACTATACTTCATTTGTACATCGCATTAAAATATTTTTTAAAATTATTTCTTTTTTTTTTCTTAGTAAGGATGTCGTTCACTTTATGGAAATAAACGTAAATGATGGCTCAAAGAGCCGCAGGCGGCTCTTGATGTGAAGATGGCGAGACACTGGATTAACGCAACCAAACTAATCGAACGTGCACATACTTTACGATAATCTACCTCGTGGTTATATAAAAAAAAAATGGACCCCTAATTAACCTTTGTAAGTCTGAATTCGACATTTAAATAAATATGTATATGTTGATTACAAGATACAAAACTTCGATTGTAGTACTTGAATAAATATGTAGAGGTAGATTACAAGGTACACAAGTTTGAACGCAAAACTTTATGCGTAAATTGAATACTACTAGAGGATAGGTTGGTTTTGTGACCTTCATTCAATGAAGAAAAAACCTTGACCCACAAATTCATACCCCGGCATTAACTTGACCTTTCACCTACATGTCATAAAAGCAGTATATCGCTCAGTAGATTTGGTCCATGTACCCTAAGTTCCCTGACACAGTTCCCTGACTAAGTTCCATGATCTAGTTGCCTGACAGTTATTTGACTCAGTTCCCTGACAAGAATTCCTTACAGCCGTTCCTCACTCAGTTCCCTGATCTAGTTCCCTGGTCTAGTTCCTCAACTCGTTTACCAAACTCACCCTTCAACCCCAGCCCCGTTCCGAGAATTCCCTCCTCCCCCCCCCCCCTCCCCACGCCTTCTGTAAGCAATTGTTTGAGCCATTCTCTGTCTAGCGGTTCCTTGAATCTCTACCAGACGTAAATCCTTAAATGGGTACATTCATCGTTGCCTCTTTAACTGAATTGCTCCCTAAATCATTCCGGGACGAGACTCCCCCAATTGCCTCATGTACTGCTCCTGGAGACAATTCCACTCTATTGCCCCAAGTTTTGCTCTTTGACGCAATACCCTCAATAGCCTCATGTTTAGCTCCCTGCAAAAATTCACTCAAATGCCTGATGTACTGTTGAGACAATACCCTCAACTGCCCCATGATTTGCCTCTTTATCGTAATTCCCTCACTTATTCCCTGACTTAATTCCCTGAATTCCTCCCTGAACTATTCCCTGACGCCATCGTATCACTTGTACCCTGACAGTAGATTATTCTACTCTCGACTCACTTTCATGATTCACTCTCTGACTCAATGATTCCCCCCCCCCCCCTCACATCCCAACATCATATCTCTAGTGACCGACCCCTAAGTCCCAGACACCGTCTCCCCCCCCCCCACCCCCCCACACACACCCCAACATCATATCTCTGGCGACCGACTATTCCTTGACGCCATTTCATCACTCGTACCCTGAATTTACATTATTCTACTCTCGACTCACTATCCTTGATTCTCATCCTGACTCAAATACCCCACCCCACCCCAACATCATATCTCTAGTGACCGTCTCCTAAGTCCCAGACACCGCTCCCCCCGCCCCTCCCCCCCCCCCCCCCCCCGTATCTCTCCGAGACCCACTCTCGGGTTCCGTGTGTCCCCCGTTGTCCCCGCCCGACATCCGACACCCCCCTATTCGACACAACCAACGTCTCAACCAACGTTCAAGGAAAGGTACACACGATCGAGAAAGAAAGACGGGGGATGGAGGGGAGTAAGAGGGGGGGGGGGGGGGGGGGGGGAAACGAGGGACTGTTTGACTCGCTTGTATTGAAGGGAAAGCGGACGATCAAAATGGTTCTAAATTTTCAGAACTTTTCTATATTCTCACTAGCCAGTCTTGTTGACTTTGCTGTAAACTAAGAAGGGTTAACGTAAAAGATTTTTTTTTTTCAAAACTTCGGTGAATAGCTGTTAAAAAGAAGACGGTTCTTCAGTAGTGGTGTGTGTGTGAGGGGGGGGGGGGGAGAATGTATTTCTTTCATCCAGTACAGGCCTAGTTTGGGTTAAGGTTACTGCGATAGAGCTATAGGAGAAGGGTGTACGGATACCAGCCAGAGAGAAAAAAAAAAACCCGATGGTAGCCCTTGTTGACACACCGAGTATAGGTGATCGCCCCTTGTGATCATTAACAGGGAAATATGAAATAGAAACTTTTAACAAGTTTATTGTAAATTTGATATTCGATATTTTAATTAGAACTCCACCCTTACCCTTCGTTGTGTTGTGAATTTTTAATAAGTCGATACTTTACTGGTTTATTTTACTTTCCTGGATACGTCGTTGCAATGACATTTTTGTCCCAATAACACCATTCAATAATGATGCTGACCGCAAGGCAAGATTTTCATTTGTGTTAAATAGAACAATAACACATTGGAGCATGCGCGTAGCGACTTTTCGTTATGGCGGCCATAAATATTAAGGTAATAAACAATACAGGAGAGAGCCTGAAATGTATTAATCAATATCTTAAAAGTAGTTTAATATAACGTTTCATGCAGTAAGTTTTTAAAAGTATTTATAAAACATAAGTTCGAGTTATTTAATTTTTTTTTATGACACGGTGTGGCCTTGACTGCTAACCCGAAAGTCTCTCGAGTTCGAATCCGGGTTCTAGTCAATGTGAAATACTTCAGATGTTAATTTTGTATTGCAAATATATGTATTTTATAAAGTAGTGAAAGGGTTAGGTTATAATTCATTTTTTATTTCTTAAAGTTATCGAATTGTTTTCAAAGAAAATTATTTGATAGAAATGTATACATTATAATTTTTTACTAAAAATTCAAATTATAAGTTATCAAAATTTTCTTTTGACAGACTGTCTATTATCATGACTACTGCGAATCTGCAAAGTTACTTTGCACTGGTGTTAAAGCAATTTTTTTTTTAGTAATCGCAATTCTTCTGCGTACCTAAAACTTGTTTACTTTGACCCCCTCCCCCAAATTTTGCTTGAAAAACTTAAATTTGCTCTAAGCAAATACAATAATACAATATTCAGAGTATTTTAAAGTCAACACAGTTGCAAAAAAGTATTTGTTGCAAAATCTGTTTTTAGTACCCCACCCCCAGAAGTACCGTAAAGTGGTGTGTTTTTTTTAAACTTTGATCAAATGGACACCGTTAGGGTCCGATTCACCACCGCAACTTTAATTAATTAACTATCTTTACCTGATTTATCTAATTATCCCAAGCACCATAGCTTATAGATTATAACCCCCCCCCTCCCCTCGTCTCGTCTCATCTCACAATTATCATTACCCTAGCCTTATCTCCATACCTCCCTCGACGCGAGCTCCCTCTACCCTTGCCTTACTGCGATCAAAAGAAATCTTAGGCCACAAAGCCGGACCGCAAATTACAACCGTTAATCCGATTAGCCCCGCTCCGTCGGTCAATTACCCACTTCACGGCTCTCTAATGACCGATGGGCAAACTTGGACGCTAAGGTAAGACCGGAATTTTCCGGCAAACAACATGTCTACCTAAACGGTAAACCGGAAACCGGGAACGAAGGGAAGGAGAAAAAAAAACCGGTCGCCGGCACTGTTTGCAAGGGCCCTGTAGTAAAAATACAATGCGCATTGATAAGGTTTGGGTTGAAAATACAATGCGCATTCACAAGGTTCGGGTGAGCAAATAGACAACACGGCCAGTCCTTTTTAACGAACCGGGTCTTAGCAGAAACATGTATGTGAATCGGGTAAAAGAGGGTGGGGGTGAGGGGGGGGGGGCGCTTGTGTTGTGATTGCAAACAGAGAGTGACGTCATCTTTTGTGCGTGGCTGAGCGCAGAACAGACAACCAAGATGACGTCGTTGCCCAATGGGTAGTCGCGGGCAGGAAGTTTGGTGACGTCAACGACCTTGTTAGTGTTGATATTTTTACAGTGCCAATGCTAATTGCTCGAGTTATTAGGGCAGAGGTCAAATAAGAGAGGGAATTATACGTAATTTAAATAAGAAATCTATTGCAGTAATTTGAAAAAAAAAATATAAAAATTAATATTTTATATATTTTTAAAGTTAAGTTTTTACAACAACAAATTGTATACAGCTGATTTACAGTATACATAGTACAAGTAAAGGGAGAAAACTCTAGATTGATAAACAATATTTATTTTTTATTTTTTTAATAACTATCATAAATTTCAAACTATATTTAAAGTCTATTTGCGCTGCATGTTTTACTAAAAAAAATAATAATAGTTAATTCGATGCAAAGAATAATTAAAATTTATATCTGAGTTGGTAAAAACATTTGAAAAATAGAATTACTAACACAAGAAAGGTTATTTAAAATTACTTATTTCATGAACTGTCGGTAATTAACTCTGGAGTTTTTTGTCAAAGGTTGAGTTCGACAATGTGTTAAATTTATTTTAATTTTTAAGGCTTTATAAAGATGGCAGTCTCCATAGGGCTGCTTTGCTTATGAAACATCTGTATTTGATAAATCAAA